AACGGGATACGATGTGATAGGGTGACGCGCGAGGCCGGAATCACAGGCACTTGAAGCGTTTCAATAAAATATAATGCTAACTAAATACGAAATCTATTTACTACCAAATTCTTAATGTTTCTATACTCTCTTTCACCTATTATTGCCGACAGTTTCCTGCAAATGCCGTCCAAATCATACGTGCAACGCTACCAAAATCCTACGCTGCCTTTCGCGGCTCCACTGTTGCACGCTTACACTAATATATATAGTTATATTATAGTTATATATAACTATATATATTAGTGTAAGCGTGAAACAGTGGAGCCGCGAAAGCAATGGCGGCTGGCAGCGTAGGATTTTGGTAGCGTTGCACGTAGGATTTAGACGTAATTTACAGGAAACTGTCGGCAATAATAGGTGAAAGAGAGTATAGAAACATTAAGAATTTGGTAGTAAATAGATTTCGTATTTAGTTAGCATTATATTTTATTGAAACGCTTCAAGTGCCTGTGGCCGGAATGGCACGAAGACCCATAGCGACAGTGATTACAATATTGATACAAACACGCGACACGGGTCATACTATGTATCGCATGTGACGCGCGATACGGCGTGACAATCGACACGCGACAATTTGATACGACGTGAGAATGAAAATGTGACGAACGATACGGCGTGGCAATTGACATGTGACAATTGATACGACATGACCATTAAAACGTGACGAACGATATGGCGCGACAATTGACATGTGGCAATTGATACGACGTGACCATTAAAACGTGACGAACGATACGGCGTGACAATTGACATGTGACAATTGATACGACGCGACAATTAAAATGTGACGAAAGATACGGCGTGACAAATGACATGTGACAATTGATACGACGTGACCATTAAAATGTGTCGAAAGCTAGGGTGTGACCTAAGATACAGGACAAAAGATAGGGCGTGACCTACGATACGTGACGAATCATACGGCCTGACATTAACTACCTAGCAAACGATGCCGCGTGACTTTCAGCATGCATATAGCGCGACATACAACACGGGACACGGTCAAGCGTGACAGTGTCTCTGAAATAATTTGAGCATGACGTAATTCGCAGCCGTCACCGTCGCCTTCGTGGACCTATAGCGAAAGGAGACGGCTTCTTAGCATGCAGTACAACTCACCCGAGACTAAACTCGTGCAAACGTAGGCCAGTGTGACGGCAACGACGAGCTGCCACGAGTTACCCATCCTGTCGGTGTCGAGTCGCACGCGAGGTTGACGAAGTTCTTCTTGCACACAGAAAGTCCCACGCACAGGTCCCTATACGGTGTCTCGTCGCTCTCTCTCTCTTTCTCTCTCTCTCTCTGTATGTTTCTCTCTGTGTTTCTCTCTCGCAGTCTCTGCTGAATGCCACTACCGGTGCGGCTACGTTATATATAGCAACCAAAGCTAACGGGCCCCGCGCGTGAGCTTCACCACGCAGGTGCGGCCGGACGCCGCAAGGTGGCGCTGCACTCGCCTCACTATGCACGCGTCTGCTGCGCGCGTTCGCCTCTAGGTGGTTGGAGTCGATTGATTAAAATTAAGATGAGTTCAGTTCGCGAAGCAAGCAGAAGATGGAAAACGAGAGAGTCGACCGGGTATGACGTCATCCGGGAAATCGAGAGAGCCGTTGCGCGGCGGGGCGATGCGAGTGACGTACGATGGCGGATATAGGAAAGTCGACATAATGACCGACTGTGCAGGCACCGTGTGTGTGTGTGTGTGTGTGTGTGTGTGTGTGTGTGTGTGTGTGTGTGTGCGTGTGTGCGTGAGTATGTGTGTGTATGCGCGCGTGTGTGTGCGCGCGCGCGCGTGTGTGTGCGAGCGAGGGTGCGTGAGAGCGCGTGCACTCTGGAACAGTGCAAGTAACTTAGTTAAACAAACATTATAGCAAAAGTTTTCACGCTCCGCCCTCTCATTTAAAGTTGAAAAGAATACATATTCCTTTCTGCGCTTTTCTGGCGTATCTCTTGTTACCCTTGCTCGGACCAAGATAGAATTCCGTTTATCTCTTGAAGTCTTTGAGTGTTCGAACACAATATTGAATACCATTATAGATTCATAGAAATGAAAAATTCAATGTATTATGCTACCTTTTTTTATGAACGCGATGCAAGCGCCACCGGTGGCAGGAAACCGCGACGAGAATCGAGAGAGATTTTGATTTGCAACCCGCTACCCACATATACCCACGAGTAAGATGAGGCAGCGCACACATCATACTCAAATATAATCAGTATAAATATATCATTATCGTATCTCTGACATGATACACATGCGCGCACTAGTATATATTGCAACACCGTGCACTTTCAATGCTTCGCTGCATGACACGTAATTACTATATATATATATATATA